AATTGAAGGTAAGATTATTATTTTAAGTCTAACTATTTTAATTAATCTCCCTTATTTTAATCAGTTTAATTCATATAGTCATCCTATAGCATATATTACAAGAAATTTGATCTTGGAAGTAATCAGTAATCGATTGGTTGGTTTATTTGATCAATCAATTTCTTAAAAAGATGATTATATAATTTTAAAATTTCACAGAAATACTTTGTACATGTATATGAATGCTTTTATTTTTACGTGTACATGTACATGTACTTTGTCGTGTTTTACAAATATGTACAATATTTTAAAATTTACCGTATACCGTTACATCCGAAGCCATGTGATGTGCATATCGAATTTACACACAACAATGAAAGTACTAAAATGGAAGTTACGTAAAATGTCTTGGCATAACGAAACGAATAACGTAAAAGCACACTAACGTTTATATAAACCGTAAATTACGTGTAAATTTGTTATCACATGTATTTCAAGATCTAAAATACATGAACTTTCATTTCTTAAATATTTACGTATCATATCGATATATATTCATAAAATGAAATTCAAAAAGATAATCAAAGCTATCTGGAAAAGATTCGGAAAAAAAGATAAAGCTCTGAAAATTTCAACACCAATATCGATCTGCGCCTATCATCATTGTAATGAATGTACCGATTGTCAAAAAAATAATTACTGCTTTGAATGTTTTAAATACCACTATAAACTCTATGAGGCCGATTGGTCTAGCAGAAACAAAGCTATCGACAGACTAATAAAAGAATGCACAAAATTTAATAAATATATTTCTTTTGAGTGGATTCCTTTTGAGAGATTTACCAATATTGAATGTATTGCGAAAGGGGGTTTTGGGATTATTTATAAAGCAACATTACACTATTACTATATGTGGGATCATAAAATAAATAATTTTAAACGATATCATAAACGCGAGGTTGTATTGAAATCATTACATAATTCAAAAAAGATTACATCAGAATTTATACACGAGGTAAAATGAACAATTTCTAATATTCTGATTTGATAATTCTTTTTTGCTTTCTAACTCGATTAAGTTCTCAATAACAGATTCAGACTACTTTGGAACACAGTATTATTAGATATTACGGAATAACTAAAAATTTATTTACAAATGAATACTCGATAGTAATGGATTATACATGTAACGGAAATCTTCGCAAACATATCAATGTCAAATACGAGCGCGAAGAATTGAATTGGGAACAAAAATTAGGGTATTTAGATCATATTATCTTTGATCTTAATACAATTCACCAAAAGGGATTTGTGCATCGTGACTTTCACCCTGGAAATATATTAATATGGGATAATAAAGCTCTGATTGCCGATTTTGGCCTTACTGGTCCAGACAATATAAAAAAATCTAAAAAAGAAATTTACGGCGTACTTCCTTACATTTGCCCAGAGGTATTGAATGGAAATCCATACACCAAAGCTGCAGATATTTATAGTTTCGGAATGGTTATGTACGAGATTGTAACAGGCGAACGACCATTCGGTGAGCGGAGTCATGATCATAATCTTGCATACGACATCTATAACGGAGTGCGACCTAAGATACCAGATAATGTTCCTGGATGGTGCAAATTTAGTATTGAGAAATGTTGGGATCCCATTCCAGAAAAAAGACCAACTGCAAAGGAACTTGAAGACTTTATCAATTCTATTGAATTTCGAACAGACTACAACTTGAATAGTTTGCATGATCAGTACTACCGCTGTTTAAAACATTCTAAAACGCGTGAAGAAATTATTGAGCTCCTAAAATTAGAAAGGCAGAAATTAAACGATCTTGACGAACAACATTTTTGGCAAAGTTTATCAAGAAATACGAACAAAAAACAAAAAATACATCCAAATGCAGTTTATACCAGTCGAGTCTTTACTAAAAAATTAATTGTAATTCAAAATGATACGGGTATGTCTTTTTCTAATTATAATCATATTGGCATTTTATATGAATTAAAAATCGCTTTAATCACTTTAAATATTTAGGTTCCACTCATGCTAGCTTGTATGTTCCAAATGAAGAAAATGAAGGTAAAATCGCTATATACTATAATTTTTTATCGTCACTTTTCTTTAGTTATGCAAAACAGAATCCGAGCTTAGTCTAACTTTGAAATTACAGATTTAATTCATTATGAGGCACTATAATAAAACAAGACTATATTAGAATTTATCAAAAGGAAATGGTAACTACTTTACTTTGCATTTAATTAAATAATAAAAATTTTTTATCTTTGTCTTGAGCTAAATATGGTTCACATTGACCAAAAGTTCTTTATATTAACATATCAATATTTTATTAATTTATTTTATTATTCTTAAAACTTAATAATAGCCTCGTCATTTTATTACATGCGAGTTTAAATATTTTTATTTAATTACATAATTTGTATTAATTACATACTGTATAGTTTTCAAAAAGTATTAATTACATACTGTATAGTTTTCAAAAAAAAGGTGAAATAAATTAATCTCAGCGTTCAAAATCTGATTTCTTGGTACATGTGCATGTAATCACAGTAGTGAAAAATCTGTTATGTGATGCACTACGCTTTGTCCAGAATTTTTCAAAAATCAAGCAGGATAAGGGTGAAGGAATACGGATCAATAGAAGATCGAATTCTACATCTATGACTTAGATGATACATGTACATATACTTGATTTATTAAAATATAAATGCACCAATTTTTTTATAGTAGGAAGAAACTATATCAGCACTCTACAGCATTCACGTCTTAATGAAATCGCATTTAATTTACTGTAGAATCAAACCAAACCAGTTAACGAAATAATAAAATAATGTACAATACTATAGAATACCTAACGATACAGCTACAAATGGTACTCGCTAATAAGCACCAGTACTGTATTAACGAATATGACTTAGAGTTAAAAAGTAAATTATTTCGATTATATTCTGAATTATTTTCACGATAAGCCAGTGTTGTGGCATGGGACACGAACAATCCGCGTTTATGTCCGGCACTTTACAGTAGCGGTCAAAAGTAGCCAACCCCTTATAACTTATTATACTAAAGATTTTTGTTTTAAACTTTTTAAAATAATTAAAATTACTGTATTAAAATTATATATTTATATTACATGTAATGACAAAAATTTTAATATAATTTAATAAACCAGTTGTTGAAAATTAAATTTTAAATTTTGGTATTAAATTATTTTTTTATATTATTATATAATAAAATTTAATAAATTTTAATTTTAATTTCTCAATATCTTATTAAATTATGTAAAATTTTTTGTTACTAATATAAAAATGCTTAAAATTTAATATATTAAATTTTAAGGAATTTTAATTTAAAAATTATTAATATAATTATTTTTTATTGCATTTGATTGATATTTTTTTATTAATGTAAAAAATTTATTTTAAAATTCAGCTCTCATTTAAATTTTGTTATAATAATTAAAAGTAAAAAACTCATAGGATCTAGAAAGTTACTGGGGGTCAGATACTTTTGACCGCTACCATATGTCTGGGACTTGATATCTAAGTTTACTAATATTAATGCCAACACATTAACCTTAGTCCCTTAACGATTAAATCGATTTGTTGCGTTTCATTACTAAACAACGTCCATACATTAATGTACAGACATACTGTGGCAGCCAAAGCTAATACATTAGGGGTTAAATTTATTTATAGAACATAGTAAAATTGAAATTATTTCTCTATATTAAATTTATAATTTTATTAAAAAATATTTTTTATTTTTATATCAAATTAATGTTCAAAACATATAGTTTTACATATATTTTTCAGATTTTTCTGAAAGAGTTGATCTAACTGAAGTCATTGCAACAATTTTAATTAATTAAATTAGAAATGGTTTTGCAATTTGAACAACTCTTTCAAAAAATCCGAAAAAATATATGTTAAACTATAGGCTATGAATTTTAATTTGATATAAAAAATTTTTTTAATAAAATTATAAAGTTTAATATAGAGAAAAAATTTCATGTTTTATCAATAAATTTAACCCCTGATGCATTATTTTTATATCAAACTTCTCTAAATGGATTTTTTAACCAGGGTCCCGGAAAAAAGATATCGGTTAAAACAGAATTTAAAATAAAATGGGATAAATCGGTATAAATAGAATTCGGTTAAAAACGAATTTAAAATAAAATGAAATAAAAATGGGATAAATCGTTAAAAATAGAATTTTTATAGATATACAAAAAATCGGTTTAAAATTATTGTATGTTCATGCTTATGAAAATGCCTCTAAGCAAAAACGAATAACTGTCTAGTGTTTTCTGAAAATTTTCGTTATGAGTTTTATTATGTTGATTTTGTTGTATTCATTTACATAAAACAATACAACAAGTCATAAAAATCAAAAGAAAATTATAACCTTGTGCAAATAATAATATAATATTAATTTAATAGATTTAATTACCAATTTAATCATGTGTGTTGTATAAAACGGAATTTTTCAAAATCACAATGGGATTTTTTCCGTGTCACTGATTTTAATTAGCTGCATATAGCTGGGACTTAGACTCTGAATACCATACTATTCAGTCCCAAAAAATGTGTATATAGAAGAGATTGATTGTTTATTCATGACTAAAATTTTTAAATAACTTGCGAATCAGCCGGCATATAAAAAAGTTTAATCAAGAAATTTATGGTATCTTGAGTCCAGAGGCACTAAATCAAGGTGCATAACTTCTAAATTCATCAATAATTTTGATTATATAAATTCAACAAACTTCTTGACTAGGAATTAAGTGCAAAATTTAATAATTAATATTATAGAATGGATCGTTCTTAATAGTATCTATAGGTTAAATTTTACATCTACTTCTTAGTCAAGAAGTTTATAAATATACATGTACTAAATAGTTATAATTAATTGTCGGGGCTGATGCTAAAATCTGAAACTAGCAACATCCCATTGATCGATCAGCTTTTATTCTCTAATTTCATTGGTCGATTTCAGCGTTCTTTTTGGGCGGCTTCGCCGGTGGCACTTTCGACATACTTTTTTACATCTTCGGCGACTTTGCCAGTGTAATGATGACCAAAACGGAGTAAAATACTACTTCTGAGATGGCTGTCCAATCCGGACGAACTTGTCAATTATGCGATACAACCAGCGATGAACAGACCTGATTTTATTATTTAGTTGACCGAACAAGCAGCATCAGCCGCCACAATTATTAACGTTAATTTTAAAGCGAGTTAAGTTACTTATACAAAAGAAAATCATAACTTGAGGATTTTTGTTGCATAGGCATGTATTGAAGTATACTAAATAATTGTATTTTGCGGAAGATAAGCAAAATCTCCGTATTGGTTTTTGCCTATTTTTTTGAACCTTAAAAAATAGTGTCAAACTTTGATCAGCTTGTTCGTTGTTAATTGGTCATCGAATGTGATGCAAGTACAATGATTTAAAGTTATTGATAAATTAATAATAAAATAGTGTATATTGTCACACTCAATTCAGAAGTTAGGTTGACTAGCAAATTAAAATATAACAAGGGTTGAGAACAAGAATGAATGATTTACACAAAAATGGGATTTTAAAGATCTTCTGTGCCAATCTTTCAGAGATTGTCCAAAATATTAAGTTTAAATTTAAAAAATATAATTTACTAATACAATTAAAGATTATTTAACACAATAGTAAATTGTATAATTATTCCCAAAACAATAATAGGAATTTGAACAAAGTTATAAAAATCAATATTCAAAGTTACATATGGCTGACTATATCAGGCTGTTAATTATGATAATGATAAAAAATGAAGTTTTCGGAATAATACATCTTGGATTGTCAAGGTTGTGATGTGCCGGTGGTTATTTAGATAACAAGTTTTCGGCGGAAACCTTTCTTAAATTTCTAGCTGCAGTATATCAGCGCAAGGTGAAAATTTTTATTCTTGTACTTTGATTAAATAGATGATTTTTTTAACGAGTTAGCCCAATTATCTACACCTCCATGCTCTGCTTTTATTTTGTTGATTACTTGAAGACTTCAAGCCAGTCAGGTTAAAGAAAAAAAGAGAAATCTACCTAACTACCGTTGATATTTTTTCGATGTTTTGTTTCTTTTATAAACTTGAGGGAAGATTGCAAGCTGTTAAGAAGACAATTGATGGAGCTCTGACTGTAATCGAAATAACAAATGAATTACATCAACAAATTCTCTCATCCTTGTTCCCAGCATGCAGTTATAATGAATCAACAAAATTTCTTGCATAGTATCAATACGATAATGACAATGTCGATGAGGAAAATCTTGCGAATGTAGTTGAAGAGATTCATTAAAACAAGAAATGATAGACCTCTCAATAATTTAGCCTTTCGCAAGGCACATAATTCAATTTCGGATGATTTTAAATTTTGTTTGAAACTCGTCCTTTTCGATTACAGTATATTTTCTCGAAACTTAATTCGTTTAATATCTTTTCATTTTAAACTTGTCGATCCGATTCAACAATGGTAGATACCTCTTTGCGTCAGTGTCAAGTTGTACGTTTCTCATACACAAGTCAATGTAAATCCCGAAGAATATGATAAAAATCCCCAAATTGGGTTTGTAACAAAGTGAATTTGTATTTTCATACGAGAGCTCTCACGGACATCCCGATCCATTCCAGGTCACAATGTTGTTTAAAAAGTCATTATATAATCAATAAGCTTCGTGAAGAGGCGGCAAAATCATTCTTGGGAGAATCGGATCGGAAAT